GTTTCGGTAGCAGTGGTGTTTTGTTTTTACGGGGTAGGGTTTCTAGCCTCATATCCAACTTTTCCTATTTGCCGGTCTTATTACCAACTTAGAGTCGTAAAGGGATGCATCGATTGGAGATCGAACACCGGACCACACGCATGGTTGGCTGGCATTCGACTATCTGTAATGCCCTTCTATGCTTGTTGCTTCCTTATAACTCTTGCAGTGAAGTTTAAGGCTAGCTGAGAACAATCAAACTAATGTGATATACATTACTATAGTTGCAGTTAGACTTTCAGCCTATACATTTGTGTAAAATGCACTTCCGTTCAGCTTTTATTAATACGACTAAGATATATAAAATGGAATTGGAAAACCAAGTAAGATGTAGGCGTTATATTTGTCCATTTTAATTTGTTCAGCTTTATAGCCCATTATTAAGAGAAAAAAGAAATTTAGGAAGTATATCAATAATGGTCATGAGGAACTAGATGTAAAAAGTCATATAAAAAAGTATATGAAATATACCATATACAATAAATTAACTCAGGCAAATTCTACGTCCCCTTCCTATACATGCAAGATTTATTGAAAAGGTTTAACAACACAGTTTAAGTTGTTTTTAATGACAGAGCGGTGGGAGGTAATTTCTTCTTGATATATCGATAGAAAATGGCTACTTTATCTCACTGAATGACACATTAGTAGATAAAAAATTCATCGAAGCATACTTATCATAAAAATCATCAATGAACATTTCAACTGGGGCTGCAAACAAAGTACAACCACGTCAACCCTTAAGATAGTAAAAACACTTTGACTTCTGCATTTTAAAATTAGAGTGAAATATTCTAAGACTCTTATGAGCACACACTGTTGTTAGATTGTTATTTCTGTTTACACTTCTGACTCTGCACATAAATGCAGTAGTTCAAGTTGCTGCACTCCGTGTAGCATATAAAAGTAGAGAAAAGAGGTTCAAAATAACTATGACGAAGAGAAATTTGGAGGAAGGAAGAATAGTAACAGGTAAAAATATGGGAATTGAACGGATCTCAGATATTACAAGGAGTAAATGAATCTGCGCCACTCAGAACGATTTTTAGCCACACCACCCACAGTCTCCAGGCACTGGTTCGTAGCATTCCAAGAACCTTAACCAGGCAGTCTACACTTCCCTACGCAGATGGCTCAGACTAACTGTCAAAGACTTCATAGACTGTTTCCAAGTTTCAGTCTGACTAATTCTCACTATTTTCCAACTCTTGTCAGTCAACGCTGCTAGTTGAAGAAGGTGGCTGCTCGGTATGCACAACATTCAGCTCAGATTAAGCCCTTCTAAAAACCTTTTATCAAAATAAACGAAAGTTTTCATCAATTCTTTCGCCACAGTTTTCTAAGTCATATACCTAAGAAGATATTTCAATACATTTTGCACGATTATGAGTTACCTGTTTTAATAACTCTTGTCTGTTTTACTGTGTTTTTAAAAATGCAAAAAGTGACGATGAATATGCATAAAAATATTTGCATACAGATTGTGATCGAAATAGCCAAGGAAATGGAGCTTTTAGACCTTATACTATGGGAAAAAACTGTTTGGATGGTGAATATAGTTAAGACAAATGCAATGGTATTCGCTCCGACAGAGTTACAACTAATAACTATTTTATTCTTTCACTTACAAATAAACTTAGTGTAATACATTCTTTTTCAAACAGAGGCTTAAGCAGATATTCATTTTCACCTGTGACCTGGTGACTAATGAATATCATCTTCACAACCAGTGAGTAGAAGAAAACATTAAAAAGATATTCTGTAGTAGTCGTGGATGACTCAGCAATACACAGTATTTGTTATATGATAGATGGAACTTCAAACTGTTAGGTTTCGTGGGCGTTACAGAGTCATTCAGTCGTTGAATCAAGTTTGGTAATTCACAGGTTTCAGCTAATGTAAATTGCGTGTCTATTTATTACAATTACATAACTTCATCTAGCACTTTCTCTCTGCATACATTTCATTGAAAAATACAGGTACTTAATGTAATACGATAAGGATAAAAAATGACGCATTGAGACATACGCTCTTCACCACCCTTTTATTGTCTCATCGATAAGGAAACAGTTGGACATTGTTGATATGTAGAATTGACAAGTAATCCCATATAAGAGATTACCGTCTGATCCTTTGTGAAAATGCTGTTAATTCGTCAGTGAACCGAGAATAGAATCTAGGAACAGCATTGACCAAACTCCAATACTTTTCCACACTGACGATCATAAAATCTGCAGATGCCGAATCATATTAAAGGCTAAATGGTATTGATCTGGTTGCGACCACTTTGTGCTCGTCTTTTTATTCAAACAGACATTCAATTTTAATCCGAACCAAACAGCTACACAGCTGAAAATTATTTTTCCAGTCCCTAGTCATGTTGTGCAAAGGGATCTCACTAGGTTTTCTAGCTTCCTATGATAGTACTAATCCAAATTAAATCCCATATTATTGTGGTATAAATTTTAGAAAATTCTGACTTTACTAATACTAATAATCCCCTTGGTCGTTAGGTGCAACAAATCAATGAACAGGAGAATGATTTTTGCGGAGGAAACCACCCGCTCATAATATTTGTCCTCTTGAAATCCTGCCATCAAAATGTTTATTTAAGTTCCTAAGATATGTAGCATATGGTCAGTTACCTCTGAACCAAATTATGTTTACATGTCCTCTTCATGATTATTTGATTGCAAACCTTGTAACTTTAGTATAAGGACAACAAAGGTGATATGAGTGCTACTTACCAAACACAAGACAGATACAAGGCAAACGTATTGCTAAGTTTCTTAACGAGCAAATATTTAGAAATTTTCCTGTATTCATGATAGAAAACAGATTACCCGTATAGGCCTTCTGGAACCCGAAATACAACTAAGGTACTGCATAGCCTGAAAGAAGAGATACTGATAACAAATTACCGAGACCCTTCTTGTAAGTCTCTTTTTAATATTTTATTTTTATTTTCAAGATTTGGTTTGTTAGGATTAGGATTTCTTTTTACTGCAAAACATGAGACAAACTGTGTTTAATAATTGCGATGCACTTTTACCTAAGTCTTCTTGTGTGTGTCTTCTAGTGTTTAATAAGTCGCTGTGTGTGCGATGGTATCGGAAACAAGTCAAGTTGCAAGGCAAAATTTCCTAGAAGAAAAACATTTTGGGGGGGGAGAAGACTGATATACCATGCTTCAGAGGAGAAATTAGGAAAGACAAGGAATTTGTAATTTCATAACACTAAAAGATCCATCATGTTACCATAACAATAGGTTTTTGTGTGTGGCATAAATATAGAGGATGTTTGTGGGGAAAATCCATGGACACTTATTACAAATAGATCTTAACAATCTGTCAAGTTGGTCAAAAGAATGGCTGCCCGTCAACAAAGTGAAATGTGTATCCATACGCATTACTTATACAAATGGCGTGTCATACCACCTCCAACTTTAGTGAAAACTAGAGATAAGTTAGCTTTCATAGATTTGAAAAGTATGGCATACTAGGAATGAAATGCTTCTGAAGGTTTCAAAGCCATGAAGGTAACACTTTTGACCTACACTATGATATAATCACAAAAGTAAAAGCGTTCAGCGAAGAGTTACTCTGACTGGACACTAGTAACTAGTGTGACGTGTCTAGTACTTTCTCTAGTGCAGACTGAATTCTATCAGTCAGGTTTACAATGTGGCCACCATTCTAGGTAGCTCGCCATCATGGTCACATTGACTTGATGGTATTAGATAGTTGAAAGCAATCGGCAGGAAGCCTTGGACCTAGGTTTCGTGCTAGTTAGCACTCATCAGCCAGGCTTATCTGGAACCTTGAAGGAACTGATGTCCCTTCTGAGATTCGAACCCGCATCACTCAGTGCTGCAGTCAGAGACGTTACCACTGAGCTATTCGGGTGATACCATTCCCAAGCTGTATAACAGCATGTACGTACTAAATTTTCTTAGCAACAAAAGGAATATCTCCAAAGATGTGTCATTAGAGTTGTAAATTTTTGGTAACAAATTGCGTAATGTAGAAAGACTTAATCGGGTAGAAACTAGAACAAAATTAAATAAGTAAGTTGAGTGACGTAACATAATTGACATGGTTCAGTAGAATTCAACCGAAATTTGAACGAGAGTCAAGTTGACAACAGTGATAATAAAGGGTGGATATTTAATATCATATCAAGTTGAAAATTATTATCTCCTTCGTAACTATGTGGAATTAATTAAATAATAATTGTATCCATGCAAACTAATGTATACAAATGCGATTGTACGGCTTTTGAGAATGAAATCGGCGAAAAGATATCTTTGCTGAACCTCCTGTTCTTTTTCCTCTGGTGTCCCGATGGGTGTTTTCCACGATTTGGAAGAAAATAATACAGCCAAAAAACAAAAAACAAAAATTACGTATTTAGTGTTAAGATAGATCAGGTCTGTATACTTCTATGGTGGAGTTCATTTATAAAACTGCATTCAAGTGGATAGTTCTTAACTGCAAGAAGATTGACAGATTGTGAACAGACTTCAAAAAACAGCCAGAAGTGCCACTGCTTGTTAGACTGACACTACAGTTTTAAACATGTTAAGAAAAAGTGGGTGAATTTTGGTTATACTGGAAAATGTTTCCCATTCCGATCATAATTTGACCAAAAATTACCCAATATTTTCCTATGATTTAACCACTACTTTTAAATGTTGACCGTTTAGGCAGTATTCTCGAATTTTGAACAACTTTTTACCTATTGCACTACCATTCTTACCGTTTTCCCAAAATCTTGCCCATTTTAACTATTATTTAACCATTCTCTCATTTTCGTCTGAGCGACTATGATCTTGTAATCGAAATTTGATTAGGAGTAAATGAAGGTTACAAGTTCCAAAAAATGCTAACTGATAAACAGGTGCAAGTTATAAATGAATTAGTCACTTCATTCTTAACATAGTGATTAAAAAATCAACATACTTCGGATTAGCAGGAACCCATTCACTTTCTTGTGCACAAATAACATCCGAAACAGCCGAGTTGCGGTCGTGTGACGTAAAATATAAGTTCTTTGCATCTTGAGGGTTATCCTTTCTGTGTACACAAATCTCTTCAAAACCACGGTTAGTAGAACATGAATTATTTTGAGCACCGCCGTGTGTAATCGCTGCAGAGACAGTACTCACAGGACGTTGCTCATAAAGATTTATCACTGAAGCAAAACTATTATGGTCCACAGACGATTCAGAATCACTATTTTCCATAGTTAGCAAGTGATTGCGCGATAAATGATCAAATATACATAAATGGCACTTGAAAAAACATTCAAGGTGACACTTGGATACTTGAAACAAACAAAACGTTTCCATTTTTGTAATCTAGTAACTTTCTGATAAAGCATTCATAATAACTTTTGCGCTCATGTAAACCTGATGAAAATATACCTTATGCTGGGCTTTTAAGGGCCCGGTAAAACACTTCGTCAACATCCGTCACTTTTCATTGGTTAGGGGACACACTGAAGTCCTACAGTATTGATCGGATTCGTTTGCACATGCTCTTGCATTTTCGGTGGCCATGATATATAACTTGCTTATTGCCAATTAACATGTGACTGCTCTTCTGAGGGGGCGAATTACTTATGGAGACTTCAAGCCATATTAAAGCAAATGCGATTTCACCGATACACCTAGTTATGACAGATTTATCAGCATATTGGATACACCCAGATGGACGTTTTTCTTACAGGAATTGAAAAGTTACTATACTAAACAAATCCTCTGTTGAGTTTTCATGGGGCGATTGCGATTTTCTGTAGCACAGAATGTCACTTTCTTCAGCTTACACTACACTTAATGCAATACTTTTAAAAAACACATCACCTGCTGTAACCATAATTGATGCGTCATACCATTAGCGATAAACTGGATTATTGATGGTTTCTAGACAATACTATACATCTACTTTCATAGATCATAAACTGACACTGCTACTGAACCACAACAAATTTTAGATTAAGGCGCAAGGTAAATAACGTGGAAAAACTGACTTCCAGCTTTATTTCATTTTACCACTTCATTTACCAAACTTTGAAGTCGAAGAGTTATTTTCTATTATCAGCGGCTAGAAAGAAAGATATGAATACTGACATTACCCAGTCACACTAGTCGTAGTAGTAGTGTAACGACAGAAGATAAAGGTCAGGCAACAGATCGTTTGCTGAGAAAATCAACACCTATTTTGTAGATCTTTATGGACATTATTATTATTCGTTATTGTTAGTCGAGAAGCAACGTCTTCTGATTGGTCGCTTTCCTGCTGAAGGTTATTCTGTCATCTCTTTGTGGCTGTTTCTTAGGCAGTCCGGTGATATATCTGCGAATCACATCCGCCCACGCTAAGTCTGCTGTGATTGGTTGTTGAGTTGGTCTTTGTTCTTGTTTTTTCTCATGACCTAAGATTTGGGACGTAAACACTGACTTAAATTGCTGCCTACCGATTTTGGCCGGCAGACAGTTCTCACCACAGTAGAAGGTTAGAAGCACTGTGGTACAGGTGCTTAAGTGGAACATAAGGGATGTAGAAAGCTCAGTAATTGTTAGTTTATGATTTATAAAGGGTTCGGAAACTCATAAAATTCCGAAGTCACTGGTAAGCACAGATAAGTTGTGACGTTAGCAGTCATATGAGACCAACTTTTAACTGTTCAACAGATATCATGACGCAGGTGGTTCCGGTATTCATCACATGTGCAAACAATATTCCGAATATCTGCAGAGTGTAGGTTCTAGTGATCCCAACACCCCATTCGAGTAGCACTAAAGTAGAGGATAGCACCACTGTATCAATGCCCTTGTCGAAGTCAGTATCTTTGAAAAGAGAAGAAGATGAGAGAAAGCCTCTGGAGAGGTACAGAAGTATCTAATACTTATTACTAATTCAAAATAAACAACGATTAGTTTAAATTTATTAGTAAAAAAGGAGTAATTGTTCTTACTTATATTGGATAATGATAAGGATATGTTCCGGAAAAGGAGTTAGACCCAAGAATTGGAGTGCGTAAAACATGTAGAAGAAAAGTGACTGTTCAATAAAATAATAATATCTGCTGTTTTTCTGACACATACAGCGAAGTGTCTATCTGAAGTAGCGAACTCATACCATGTACTTGCATTCACGGAGTTTATGTTTAAACTCAGGCTACCAGGAAGTATTCAACCATCTTTTATTAATTCATCTGTTTTGTGCAAGTGATTCAAACTCAGGAGTCTTGGCGATGGAGCGCTGCCCTCTCAGATAAAGTTGGTTCTCATATGCCCGCCATCATATCCGATGAATATCAGTCACCACCATTCCACCTTCTAATGTGCAAAGCCCTGGAGGAATGCCCCCTTTTATTTCTATTATAATATGCTATGCAGACTTTTACATTCATTTGTCAACTCTTTAAGAGTCATGGTATGAATGACTATTTTCAGAAGACTATCATGTGTGTCTCATCTGTTACAGCATGTTGAAGAAAAATGATAAACGTACTAGGAAATTAGACGTTCACAGTCTACCTTTTAGATATAAATAAATGAAAATACGAAATACACTGCACACTGGTGCAGCACTGTGCATATAGAAACAGCAGTAAGTTGTAACATATGGTTCAGAAAAATTTGACTACACAGGATTATACTTATGGAAGAGTGAGATAAGATTCGTTAATATTTAAGGCTCACCGTCTAGTTAGGTTGATTATTTAGACTATCACCATTTGAGCGGAAATTCGCGTAGAGACAGACAGTATTTACGTACAGCATTAGGCAGCACCCAGAGACATTTTAATACCAGTCATCTTCAGGTGATCCACTACTGGAACTTGAGACTGAACTCTTAGCGCACTGAAATGCTAATAATACAATGTTATTAGGGACATAAGCGAAAATATTTGATTAAATAAATAAATAAAAAACTGAACGTGAATGGGTGACTTGGGTTGTGAGAACAGTCGTATTGAAAGTGGAGTTAAAGATAGAGTACATAGATTTCGGGAGCTGATAGTGGCGTATAAGAGCTCTAATTTTTAGTTTGTCACATACCGCTTCTGGCCCGTTGTGAATTAGATATTTGTCCAGCAGTGATGAGATGATTTTTAGGGTTGAACTCATTCTAATTTCATTTGGAAGCCGGTTCCAAACACAACAGTATTTCACAGTGAAGGAATTGGATCTGCATTTTATACGACAACGGGGCATATTAAGAATGAAGATTTATTTCTGAATATATTTCTTAGATGAGCTAAAAGTAAAGTCATTGTGGGGAAAATATATCAGCCCTCTAGTAATCCTACATGCGATTTTGAACTTCAGTCGTCTGATCCATAAGGATTCCAAGCCAAACATATTGTATCCGCCGTAGTACTAGGCGTCTCGTACACGCCCTTTATAGACTTTCGAATTTGCGCCTGCCTTTTATGGAGACACTGTCCATTTCGGAGGACAAAATTCAAGTAGGGACCTTATGAATAACTTGTACAGCAGAATTTTAGATTCACATGCCTTAAGTTTTCAGAATAAAAGCCCAAGGAGCTTTCCGACTTTTGATACCTGTAATTTAACATATTCTGTGAGGCTAAATTGTGGTGAGTATTTCGAACCCAAACCTCTTGTAAGAGGCAGTCAGGGAATATGTTCGTTGTATATGGGGACGGAGAGTTGTGGCTAGAAATGTTTTCGGGGCGCAGCACTCAGCATTTTTTGACGTTAAACTTCATTTTCCACTTGTCACACCATAAATGGAAGCTATCAATATCATTCTGAATCCTATCAAATAGACACACGTAATACCTGAGCGGAATATACCTTATTTTGATATCATCAGCAAATAGAGAAGGTCTGCCATGTCTAATAACGTCTCGAATGTCATCAAAATATAACGGAAATAATAGTAGACCTAGGACACTTATATAACCACTTGTTATCCGAACGTTGTTGGATGTGTGGGAACCTAACCTGACCATTTGCTTTCGATTGCTTAGAAACGAACTCAGCCAGTTTAACAACGAACCTTAGACCACATAAGACTGAACTCTTGATATTAACCGTCAGCTGCTCACAGTGTCAGAGGCCTTACTGAGATCTAAGTAAACAATAACTGTGATCATACTGGAATCCTTAAGCTGTGAGACATGATTGAAAAATTGCAAATGGCATGCCGTGCAAGAACTTGACTCCATGAAACCATGTTGCTAAGGAATGTAAGGAACGTAAGTTTCTTTTGAGAGAGAAAGTCAAAAATGGCACTTTTCACAATCTTTTCCGGAACCCTTGAAATAATGGAAGTTAGATTTATGGGTATGCAAATCATGACACTTGAGCGAGTGCTTGACTTATACCTAGGAGCAATGTGCATGGTTTTCCATGTATCTGGATATATCGCAGTTGCCAGAGAGGTAGAATACACTTTGAGAAGAAGAATAGAAATATCTTCACCACAGTATTTTAAAACGTTATGGGGGTCGCATCAGGACCAGGGTTGTCTGAAATTTTAGAAGCGATTGCTTTCTTAATATTATCTAAGGAAAAGCCGATAATTTCTAAATTTTTCTGTAAATTTCGGAGAAATGGAGGTTGTGGCGAAGCACTATAATCATAAGCGTAGGACGGTGTAAGTAAGAGTCCAGAAGTTCACAAATTATTTTAGGGTCACTAGCAGTCTCACCATTTTCTAAAATGAATGGTATACCAGTTTATGAGAGCTCAGCCTTTTGAGATAAAGCCTACGTATTTCAGTGTATTTAGAGCCATCTTTAACAGCTGCATTTTCTTCCCTGAGTAAATCTTTGTCGTTATTTGCTTTTAATTTGATATAAATGTTCTGTACATTTATAATACACAAGAAGTCACTCCCTCTGTGGTACTTTCGGTGCATTATTCATATTTTAGCACTCACTTTTCCAGGAATGAAGTTTTTCATGTTTTGGCTTGAGTTTAATTGGATTTAGGAACAGGTTCATCATAGCACATCGACACATTTTGGCAAAGTGTAGTAGCATAGCGTTTGGGTTGCTACTAGGAAAGAACAGGGCCTAGTCTGAGCTTCGGATGAAGTAAGTGGATACGTCCTACCTAGCTTTTCATAAGAATACGAATGCTTTGCGCAGGGTATGGCGCTCTAATGAGCGAAGCTTGGTACTGGAGGAGCAGATTACGGTGTTATGGTCACTACCTGCGAATCGAAGAATGATGTCTATGGTAAAATGGGCGATGCCTTTCTAAAAAGCTAGGTCTAGTATATTTTGGT